TGACTTTATTAATTTTAATAATACTATTAAAATTTATTTTATTTTTACATTTTAAAATTTTAATAATGTTTGTTAACATTTTTTATTTAATTTTTATTTTTTAGTTTGAATAAAATAAAATAATATATTTTTATTCTTCTTAATTATAATGTAACATTTTTTTTAACTTTTTTTTGTTGAGTTTTACATTTAGATAATTTTAATAAGTTTTCAACTTTTTAAAATAATTTAATATCATATTTGTAATAAAATTTGAGTAAAAAAAATATCTAATAAATTTATTTTAATAAAAGATATTTTTTTATCATTTTATTTAAATATTTATCTAAAATTTATTAAAAATCATGTATTTAATTAATAGATATTATTGCCAAATTAAAATAGATTCACTAAATGAGATCTAAAACATATAAAAATTTATAATTTTCATTAAATTTTAACTAATAATAAAAAAAATGATAGGAAAAATTGTTAGAATTTTACTAACATTTCTCATGATAAAATAAGATAAAATTACATACAATATCATTAGTGTTGAGTGTTATTATTTGATCAAAATTAGAATTTGACTTTCGTAGTCAGTATAATAAATAATTCTATTGAATGTGAATGTGTATGGTCCAAATAAATTTTTTTTTTATAAATATTACAGCATCTATGAGACAGAAAAAAAGAGAGTATAGATTGTGAATAAAATAAAAGGAATAAGGTAGGAATTGACTTTGATGCAGAGTGAGGAAGGGGTTAAGTAGCATCCTTTGTCAGGCATTCACATTGCATGGTTTGAAAACCTCAGCCTCAAGTGGCCCCACTCACAGACTCACTTGACAAGGTCTCGTTTCTTTGCAAATAACATTACCGAGCAATTGCTTATTTGATTTTGACCCGAGTCAAAGTCTTCCCGAGAAAGCCAACGAAATCAAATGCCAGACAGATACAGAGGGATAGTTTTCGACGACAATAAAGTAAATTTTTAAAATGTGGGCCTATGATGTTTGTCCTTGTTTGATAATTACCCATATCGTTCCATCTAAGCAGAGTTACGAGCACGTGTATCTCTCAACCTCAACTTACAATATTTTCAATTTCGTACATTTATTTTTCTCTATGTACAATTCATACTTTTCTAAGACACGGTGATAATTCACCAATATCGCCTTATCTTTATAATATAATTAATAAATTTATCTATAAATATATATATATTAATCTTATTTATATAATTAATATAAGTCATGTCTAAAATAACATATAATTGTATCTTCCTTAATTAATGGTCATAAGAAGATTTCAATGAAATAAATATTTATTGAGTCATGTTAAATTATAGGTGGATAATTATTGTTTTACACCATTATAATTAAAAGTGATAAGATGTTGAGATATTGATAATATATTTAGATGAAGAATTTAAATGAAATAACTTATTTTTTTTTTTTTAAATTGAAATACTTTGAGATAAAATACTTTGAATGAAAATTTTATAAAAAATTTAAAATACAAATATTTTTAAAATTATTTAAAATAGTAGAATTTTAAATTCCTTAAAAAATTAAGAATGTAAAATTCTTCTATTTTTTTCCTATCTCTATCTTTTCTCTTTCAAAATTGACATAAAAAATGTCAATAGTTTTATTTTTTTTAATTATTTAATATTTTAAAATTACTTTT